CATATCTTTCAATAGTTACCCTGAATGTAAATGGGTTAAATGCCCCAATCAAAAGACACAGGCTATCAGACTGGAGAAAAAAACAAGACCCATCGATATGCTGTCTGCAAGAGACTTATTTTAGACCCAAAGACACCTCCACATTGAAAGTGAAGGGATGAAAAACCATTTACCGTGCTAACGGACACCAAAAGAAAGCTGGGGTGGCAATCCTTATATCAGACAAATTAGATTTTAAAACAAAGACTGTAATAAGAGATAAGGAAGGACACTATATCCTACTTAAAGGGTTTATTCAACAAGATCTAACAATTGTAAATATCTATGCCCCTAACATGGGAGCAGCCAATTAGATAAGGCAATTAATAACAAAAGGAAAGAAACACATTGACAACAATACAATAATAGTGGGGCACTTTAACACCCCCCTGACTGAAATGGACAGATAATCGAAGCAAAAGATCAACAAGGAAATAAAGACTTTAAATGATACACTGGACCAAATGGACTTCATAGACATATTCAGAACATTCCATCCCAAAGCAACGGAATACACATTCTTCTCTAGTGCTCATGGAACATTCTCCAGAATAGATCACATCCTAGGTCACAAATCAGGTCTCAACTGGTACCAAAAGATTGGGATTATTCTCTGCATATTTTCAGACCACAGTGCTTTGAAACTAGAACTCAATCACAAGTGGAAAGTCAGAAAGAACTCAAATACATGGAGGCTAAAGAGCATCCTACTAAAGAATGAATGGGTCAACCAGAAAATTAAAGGAGAATTAAAAATATTCATGGAAATCAATGAAAATGAAAACACAACTGTTCAAAATCTTAGGGATGCAGCAAAGGCAGTCCTGAGAGGAAAGTATATAGCAATACAAGCCTTTCTCAAGAAACAAGAGAGGTCTCAAATACACAACCTAACCCTACACCTAAAGGAGCTGGAGAAAGAACAGCAAAAAAAGCCTAAACCCAGCAAGAGAAGAGAAATAATAAAGATCAGAGCAGAAATCAATGAAATAGAAACCAAAAGAACAGTAGAACAGTTCAACGAAACAGGGAGTTGGTTCTTTGAAAGAATTAATAAGATTGATAAACCCCTGGCCAGACTGATCAAAAAGAAAAGAGAAATGACCCAAATCAACAAAATCATGAATGAAAGAGGAGAGATCACAACCAACACTAAGGAAATACAAACAATTATAAGAACATATTATGAGCAACTCTATGCCAGCAAATTAGATAATCTGGAAGAAATGGATGCTTTCCTAGAGATGTATCAACTACCAAAATTGAACCAAGAAGAAAAAGAAAACCTGAACAGACCTATAACCACTAAGGAAACTGAAGCAGTCATCAAAAATCTCCCAACAAACAAAAGCCCAGGGCCAGATGGCTTCCCAGGGGAATTCTACCAAACATTTAAACAAGAATTAATACTTATTCTCCTGAAACTGTTCCAAAAAATAGAAATGGAAGGAAAACTTCCAAACTCATTTTATGATGCCACCATTACCTTGATCTCCAAAACAAAGACCCCATCAAAAAGGAGAATTAGAGACCAATATCCTTGATGAACATGGATGCAAAAATTCTCATCAAAATACTAGCCAGTAGGATCCAACAGTACATTAAAAGCATTATTCATCATGACCAAGTGGGATTTATCCCTGGGCTGCAAGGTTGGTTCAACATCCGCAAATCAGTCAACGTGATACAATATATTAACAAAAGAAAGAACAAGAATCATATGATCCTCTCAACAGATGCAGAAAAAGGATTTGACAAAGTACAGCATCCTTTCTTGATCAAAACTCTTCAGAGTATAGGGATAGAGGGTACCTACCTCAATATCATAAAAGCCATCTATGAAAAACCTACAGCGAATATCCTTCTCAATGGGGAAAAACTGAGACCTTTCCCCCTAAGGTCAGGAACGCGGCAGGGATGTCCACTATCACCACTGCCATTCAACACAGTATTAGAAGTCCTAGCCACAGCAACCAGACAACAAAAAGAAATCAAAGGCATCCAAATCTGCAAGGAGGAAGTCAAACTCTCACTGTTTGCAGATGATATGATACTTTATGTGGAAAACCCAAAAGACTCCACCCCAAAACTGCTAGAACTCATACAGGAATTCAGTAAACTGGCAGGATATAAAATCAATGCACAGAAATCAGTGGCATTCATATACACCAACAACAAGACAGAAGAGAGGGAAATTAAGGAGTCGATGCCATTTACAATGCACCCAAAACCATAAGATGCCTAAGAATAAATCTAATCAAAGAGGGAAAGGATCTGTACTCAAAACTATAAAATACTTGTGAAAGAAATTGAGGAAGACACAAAGAAATGGAAAAATGTTCCATGCTCATGGATTGGAAGAACAAACATTGTGAAGATGTCAACGCTACCTAGAGCAATCTACACATTCAATGCAATCCCCATCAAAATACCATCCACTTTTTTCAAAGAAATGGAACAAATAATCCTAAAATTTGTATGGAACCAGAAAAGACCCTGAATAGCGGGAGAAATGTTGAAAAAGAAAAGCAAAGCTGGCGGCATCACAATTCCGGACTTCCAGCTCTATTACAAACCTGTCATCATCAAGACAGTATGGTACTGGCACAAAAACAGACACATAGATCAATGGAACAGAGTAGAGAGCCCAGAAATGTCCCCTCAACTCTCTGGTCAACTAGTCTTCGACAAAGCACATGGAGAAGAATCAAACTGGACCATTTCCTTACACCACACACAAAAATAGACTCCAATGGTTGAAAGACCTCAACGTGAGACAGGAGTCCACCAACATCCTAAAGGAGAACACAGGCAGCAACCTGTTCAACCTCAGCTGCAGCAACTTCTTCCTAGAAACATCGCCAAAGGCAAGGGAAGCCAGGGCAAAAATGAACTATTGGGACTTCATCAAGATAAAAAGCTTCTGCACAGCGAAAGAAACAGTCAACAAAACCAAAAGACAACAGACAGAATGGGAGAAGATATTTGCAAATGACATATCAGATAAAGGGCTAGTATCCAAAATCTATAAAGAACTTATCAAACTCAACACCCAAAGAACAAATGATCCAATCAAGAAATGGGCAGAAGACAAGAACAGAGATTTTTCCAAAGAAGACATCAAATGGCCAACAGACACATGAAAAAGTGCTCAACATTGCTCGGCATCAGGGAAATCCAAATCAAAACCTCAATGAGATATCACCTCACACCAGTCAGAATGGCTACAATTAACAAGTCAGGAAACGACAGATGTTGGCGGGGATGCGGAGAAAGGGGAACCCTCCTACACTGTTGGTGGGAATGCAAGCTGGTGCAACCACTGTGGAAAACAGTATGGAGGTTCCTTAAAAAGTTGAAAATAGAGCTACCATAGGACCTAACGTGCACTACTGGGTATTTACCCCAAAGATACAAATGTAGGGATCTGAAGGGGTATGTGCACCCTGATGTTTATAGCGGCAATGTCCACAATAGGTAAACTGTGAAAAGAGCCAAGATGTCCACTGACAGATGAATGGATAAAGAAGATATGGTATATATATACACAATGGAATATTATGCACCCATCAAAAGGAATGAGAGCTTGCCATTTGCAATGATGTGGATGGAACTGGAGGCTATTATTCTGAGCGAAATAAGTCAGAGAAAGACATGTATCATATGACCTCACTGATATGAGGAATTCTTAATCTTAGGAATCAAACTGAGGGTTGCTGCAGTGGTGGGTTGTGGGAGGGATGGGGTGTCTAGGTGATAGACATGGGGCAGGGTAGGTGCTATGGTGAGCGTTGTGAATTGTGTAAGACTGATGAATCACAGATCTGTACCTCTGATACAAATAATACATTATATGTTAAAAAAGAAAGAAGATAGCAGGAGGGGAAGAATGAAGGGGGGGACATCGGAGGGGAGACGAACCATGAGAGACTATGGACTCTGAGAAACAAACGGAGGGTTCTAGAGGGGAGGGGTGTGGGGGGATGGGTTAGCCTGGTGATGGGTATTAAAGAGGACATGTTCTGCATGGAGCACCTGGTGTTATACGCAAACAATGAATCATGGAACACTACATCACAAACTAATGATGTTTAAGATAACTAAAAAAAAGAGCTCCAGGGGGAGGTAATAATAATAATAATAAAAAGATTGGGAAGACTGCCTTGTTTTACAATCAATTTCATTAGAAGATTATCTATATTAATAATCTTAGAGCTTTTGGTTTTGTTTTACTACTTTACTATTTTTTTGTATTTATTATTTCTCTAAAATATTCTCCCTTTCATTTTCTTTGGGTTTCATTTTATTATTCTTTTAAAAATATTTTTAGGTTAATTATTAACTCATTTATTTTTACCAATTTTCCCCCATAAGATAACCATTTGTGGCCACAAATTTTCCTCTAATCTTCTCTTTCACTAAAGTTGTATAAATGCTCACATTAGGGATTTGATGTCTCATTTCCATATTCACCAAAAGAAAAGTTTTGCTTTGTGGATCTTCTAATGTATGTTCTGAATCAGCTTCTCCCCCCTCAGATTTGCCATAATTCTTTTTCTTTACAATCTTACTTGTGTAATAGATGCTCCAAAACCTGGGGAAAAGCACGGAGACTGTCACCTTCTGTCCCTGCATCCCCTGCCCCCCAAGGGCTGGTTTCCCTTTCAGTCCCTCAGGGATCTCCCTTCTTCAGTCTAATGGGCTCTGCACTCCCTCTGTGCTCCAACAATGTGACCCTCTCATCTGGCTGCCTTCGCAACAATTCTGGTGACCGGACCCACTTCTCCCATCTCTTCTCACCTGTCACTACGAGCTCATTCGAGTCCTGTCATGAATGTCGCCCACTCAGAAGCCATTCCCTCCCGCCGCTCAGCCCTTCTTCGGACCCTAGTCCGTCCCACTTTCCGTGGGTAGTTAGGTTCCCTGACACCTTTGCTTTCTGTGAGGTCACAGAACTCACCATGGTCTGGCGCAGTGCTGCCATCTCCCGGCTGAGGAGCCAGCGAGGCAGAGGGACAGTTCCACGGAAGTTTGGGCGATTGTCGCGGCGCCGCAAAGATGCAGTTTGCGCGGCGGCTCAGCGAGCAGGGGTAAGAACTGCCCGGACGCCGCGGGGATCTCGCACTAACACCCGGGCCTCGGCGAGAAGTCTCGGCGTCTAGGGCGGGTGAGCAGCGGCAGGGGCGCCTCCGCTGTGGCCCAGGCGCCACCTCCCAAGGCACGGGAGATTTTCGCCCGGTGGGGCGGCCAGCGCCGGGACGCTCCCCCTCAGCCCAGCTGCTGCGAGGCGCGGGGCAGAGGCCGAATCACCTGGCGGCGGGCCGGGGTTTGCCGAGCCGAGCGCGCCGGGTTTGCACCCAGCTCACCTCTGAGCAGGTCGCGTCGACGCGCAGGCCCCTCCCGGAAGGGGCCGTGGGGGTGGGCTGCCCGAGGCCCCGCCCCGGAGGTGGGAGCAGTCCGGGGGGGCGGGGCCCGGCCGGCCCCCGGGGTTCGCGCGCCAGGTTCCGACTCCTGTGCGGTGCGGTCGGACTTGGAAGCGGTCTGGGCTGCCAGCGCCTCTCCAGCGCCCAGCGCCGCGGGAGAGCCGAGGTGAGACGCACCGTCCTGCACCTGGGACAGGCGGCGAGTGGACGTGGGGGGCGCGATTCATCCCACTTCTGCTGGCCTTTCCCCAGGGCAGAGTGCGCAGTCCTGCCCTTGACTGCCCTGTTCTTTCCTCCCCTCGGGCGCCAGCTTCCTTCATCTCGCCCCCCTACCCCTTTTTTCTCCTCGTTCCCCCCAGTCCCTGCCTTCTGCCTCTGTCTTTTGTCTCCTTGTCTCTTCCTGTTTCTCTCCGTCGTCTATCTCACTTTTTCTTGTCTGCCTCTTCTTCATTACCTATTTTCCCTGCCCTACCCCTTCTCTTTTTCCTTCTCTCTCTTGGTCTTTCCCTTCGCCCCCCCCCCCACCCCCCGCCCCAGGAATTCTGCCTTTTGATGTTTTTTTCTTTCTCCTAGGATGACTCTCATTCTTCCATCTATCCATCCACCCATCCTCTCTCATCCTGTGCTGCTCTGTTATACTCAGCCGGAGCTTGTGCTCGGCACTAGGGTAATAATGGTGCATCTGTCCCAGATCCTTTCTCCAAAAGATTACATCCAAAGGGGGCATTCAAGTGCCTGTTTTGGGAAAAATACATAAATGATCTAGTTATAAATATCTGAGATTTAGGGTGAGCCGGAAGAAAATACTTGGTTTTAGAGACAAGGCATTGATTGAGTCGTTTTCTTGACATTTGCCTGTAGTAACAGGCACAGACAGCACACCAGGAAGCTAAATCCTGCAGAAACATTGAGGGGACACTGGGGCCCACACCATCCTTCCTTGGAAATAGTGTAAGGCCAGGTTGATAGGGAGGGAAGGGGTGGAATTCAGAGCTTACTTGTGGGAAGACAATAGAGAGGTCAGGGCTTTTCATGTGAAACCATTAAGTGAGAGTTAAAATATGAAATTAACTGTGTATTTCTAAAATAGATACTTGCCAGTGCTGCTGATGTGCAGAATTTAAGTTCCATAATTATGCTGAATCAGACAGGCATTTTATAGCAATTATTGTGGCATTTAAGATTAATGTTTTTGTGTACATTAGGTAGGACCACAGTTGAAAATACCCTCATCTTAGTATCAAGGATTGTCTTAGACACATACTAAGTGAAGAAATCTAGAAAAACAAATCCGATTAATTTGGGGGGAATAAAGTAGAAGTATTGCATATTAAAGCAATGTTTGCTTCTTGTTAAAAATGTGATTTTCCCAGTGAGACGTGATTTCATTGCTTTATGATATTTTTATGACATATAGCTGTATGTTCAAACACATACACACACACCATATATATATAAACTTGTTTGTTTTTAAAGCTATTAATTACCACCTAACACAGAAGTTTTTTTCTAATCAAGAATTTAACCTTTTGGTTTATTATGATTTTTAATGATATTTCAGTTCATTTGACTTTTCAGTTGTTATGGGAAAGGAAATGTGATATTACATAAATCACACAAACAAAAATGAAATATGACCGAAGAGGATTGCAATGTGTTTATTGAAAGAATTTTTTCATTTTAAATCAAAGAATGTTGGACAAATTCTTAAGTATATGCATGGAACTTTGATTCGGGAGGTTGTTTTCTGCATTTAAGAGTCAAATTGACTTTTAAATCATTGTACCGCTGACTTCCACTGTATCAGAACTCTGGAGGGGTGGGATGAAAGGGATGCTTTGCAAATGATTTAAAACCATCATGTCTGCTTTGCTTAGCAGATTTCTTTTTCAGAAAGCCAAGAAGTGACAACTTTTCTTTAAAACAGATAATCACAATAAAAAGATTTTTTCAAGGTTTTGTGTTGAGCTGCAATGCTTTTTAAATTTCCTTTCCTTCTTTGAGTAGGCTGTATCTCTCCTTTCTAGTAGATAATGATGCTATTATTGGCATCAGGTAGAGTCTGGCTGAGCAGTTTGATATACAAGCCATGGACTTTCCCCGGAAGGCTGCCACTGGGCTTGGTCTACATGGCCAAGTTGTGTTAGGACTCCAGCAGACTGCATTATGGGCCTGGTGTCTGTCTGCATTCTGGGAATCCTGCATTTGGTTTTGCTTGAACACAGGAGGCATTGCTGCTGAAGGGGTATAGGCGGACATAGAGCCTGTGGGGATTGGCTAGGAAGACCTCTTCTCTCCCAGCTCCATGGCATCACCAACCAGCCTCCAGGAAAGCCTGGATAGCTCTCCAGTTTTAATTTTCTCAGGGTTCCAGAGCTAGGAGGATGCATGTGTATTTCCCATTCAGGAAAACCCAGGATGTCACAATCCATATGTAGAAGAGGTGGATAGATAATTATCCCCTGGAACCTTCCAGAATGGTCTGAGAAGCATCTCCAAAGTCTAGGGAAACCAAAGGATTAGAGCACAGGAGATATTATCTGCTCTTGTTTGTTTTAGCTAAAGAGGAAGCCAGACACAGGAGACACTAGTTGGTGGTATGCATGGTATCACTGAATAAGATCCAGTTTCTGAGTAAGATGCAGCTTGGATAGGCTGGAGGCTGGCCAGCTGACAGAGGTTGGAGAGTACCTTCAGATACCTCAGGAAAAAGAGGTCACCTGGTTGTTGACTAAAAGTTCTTTCTTCTGTGAATGAAGGGGGAAGGAGGAAAACAGGCAGGCCATTTGGTCACTCATTACACACTACTGTGCACGGGTTCCTGGGAGCACATGAGTAGAGGAAAGTGAGCCAGGTGGTTGACTCTTGCCCTTTGCACTAGTGTGATACTAATGAATAAATTAATGCTACCTAACATTTATTGAGCCCGGCTCTTTAACACTTCAGATACCTTAATCCGTCTAATCTTTACCAACCACTGGATGAAGTAGGCATCAAGGTGATCCTTTTTTTTAGAAAGAAAGGGTCCTTTTTTGGATGAGGAAATAGGCAGAGAGAGGATCAACACCTTGCCCGTGGTCACAGGATTGGTAAGAGCAGAGTTGGGTTTGGTCGAGGCATCCGATGTGAGAGCCCACGCACTTATCCTCTATGTGATACACGGCTTGATGATAACATGAGATGGCCTGGCCATAGCATGAACAGAACGTGGCCAGGTGAAAGAATGATCAGAGTCTGCACTCGGTGCCCTGGAAATGGGTAATAAACAAAGATACATGTGCTTGTAACACTGTGAAGTGAGTAAGGCTTCATTTCCAAGAATGTAGCCCTTCTTGTGTTTGTTGGAGGAATCCTCACTGGTGGCCCAGGAAGGTTGAGAGCCTGAGGGAGAAGTATCCTAAATGATAAGGAAGGATGGATCTGGTCAGACACCACGTAAACTTGGGGAGCACAGACTCAGAAGGTCTCAAAGGTCACTTATAATCCCATGATCTAAGGGCTCAGAAATGTTGGAGAGTCTGGGATTGAAATCAGGTCCTTTAAATAGGAAGACCATGGGGTGTTACTGAAAGATGTCTGTGTGGCTCAGGGAGTTCCTTGCTAAGCTCAGACTGAAAAGATCCAAGGAGGATAAGAGAACCCTTATCAGGACACACACAACAGAGTGAGGAGGATGAGCAGATCGTGTCAGGGGGTGAGAGCTCAGAATGAATTGAGGCTATTGAGGAGAGTGGAGGGACAGCAAAGGGTCCCTTAACATTGCATGGGAGCAAGGAGAACAAGGGCTGCATAGATTCACCGGAATGTCTGGCAGAGAACCATCCTCCAATTGCAAAGGGCATTAGTCGGTCCACATAGGAAGAAGGAGCAAGGCAGCACCGAGCAGCTGTGCGTGCAGTCTCCTGACCCAGAACTCACTGGCCAGGGCATGATGTGACCCCAGAGATGACATCATGCATCTGCACAGGTCATCTGAGAGGTGGATCACAGGAGAGGTGCATGAAGCCTGGAGCTCAATGAGACCCAGAGTCTGATGTTGACCGTGGGTAAGGGCCTGTGAGTCGTTTGACAGGAAGAGATGGGCATCAGGAGCTGGCACAGGCTCACTTGGGACAGGCCACGTCAGACACACATCATTTTCCTCTTTGAGAGGCTTCCATCTGGCAATGTCACAGACAGAGTGGACCGGTTAGATGGAGCCCCAGACAGAGTGTTGTAGGACATTATTTGCACTTGCCTGAGTGACCTTAGCCCAGCAGTGCTGATGCATGGGAGAGAGGTGAGCCTCAGGGAGCTTGGTCATACCAAAGGTCCCCACTCAGTTCAGTACCCTCGTCACCTTCTTTTCTTCTCTTTCTCATTATTATTATTATTATTATTATTATTATTATTATTATTTTATTATTATTTTATCTCCCTTTCTTTCTCCTCCTCCTGTTGGTCCCATTATTATTATTAAGATTTGAATAATAAAATTGATGGAACATGGAGTTGGATGGATATCTAATATAGTGATTGGCAGAATTCAGACCCACAATGGTCTCAAGAAGCTGGAAGGCAGCGCTGCATTTAGCAATGTGGCATTTAGCAGGTTGGAGATGAACGCCCTTGGGTTGAATCGTGCGGCTTCCCTCGTGTGGTTACTGTGAAAATTCCACGCAATAAGGCATATGACGCCTCTGGCATCTCTGGCATGTGTTCACCTACATACTCTATAAACGGTCACTTCTATGTTTACGTGATGAAGCATCCCTGGTAGTAAAGATTTCATCCTGCAGTAAGATCCCATGTTCCAGATTTGAATGCTGAAAACAGAGTTGTCACATCTGTGGCTCAGGGCACTCTGGACATTTCTGATGACTGGGTCTACATGGCTGTGGTTGGCAGAGGTTGCCCGAGCTGAGAAGACAGCCCAGTGGGCCTGTCTGCAGAGGGGTGCAGGGTGCAGCAGGGCCCGGAGGGCAGTAGCATGGGTGCCTGCCCAGGCTTGGGAAAGACATCCTGTGGTTCTAAATTGTCATCTGGAGGGCTGCCTGAGGAAGAGCTGGGGGAGAAAGCGATGGATTGGGGGGAAATATGTGTGTGTGTGTGTGTGTGTGTATTTAAGTGTGAGTGTATGTGTGTGTATGAGTGTGTATATGTGAGTATATGTATGTGTGTCTATGTGTTTGTTTCTGTAAGTGTATGTGTATTTGAGTGGGTGAGCAAAGATGTGTGTGTATGTGTGCATGTGAGTCTGGTTCAGCCAGTGCTGCTCACCAGCTGGGGGAGAGTGGGCAGGGGGAGGCCTGAAGATGGGTGTCCTAGCTTCAAGAATTGGCTGGTGGAGTTGATTAGGGAAGGGCAGGGAGGAAAGCTTCCCCAGCAGGGCTGATGGCACTCTCTCCTCCTCAGTGCCACCTCACATATGGCCGTGAGTGTCTTTCCTCCAAGACTTGAGCACCTCCAGGGCAAAGTGGAGGCTGGTCTACCTGAGTAGGTCCAGCAGGTTGGCACAAGAGGACAGTTGACAGGTGAGCAGAGGAGAAGGAAATGGATTAATGTCTGAGGAGAACCAAGTGTGGGCACTCTGGTGAGTGGATGCGGGGCAGACCCACGCTTGCTCCAGGGGCAGGGCCAGGTGGAGAAGAGGGGGCTGCCCCCCAGGAGTGGGAGTGGGGCCCAGACCCACCCTGCCATGCCTGGGCATTTTATTGTCCAGCCTTTACCCTCTGGCCACCTGTGCTGCAGGAGCTCCGCTCCCAGGTGCTCGGTGTCCTGTCATGTCTGATTCTGTGGAAGAAAAATGGACACACTGAGCTGCAAGACTACTCTAAACAATGAAAACGTTCATAAATCAGGGTGCAAACACGTTAGATTTGTCAACTGGGTCGGAACGGCCTGGTGGACACGTCATGTGCTATGGGAACACAGCAGCTCCTGCCTCGATGCTGGCAGGTGCAGGGGCAGTGCTGAGCCTCACCCTTGGGTGGCAGGGTCACGTGGCATGGTCCTTCCTCCCTGATGGAGTCCTGGAGGTGAAAGCAGGTGGCACAGTGCTCCAAGTCAGGGTGAGCTGCTGCATCCGTAGTAGTCAGGCTTCTTTGGATGCACACAGCAAAGATGAGGAGCGCATGTCTCACTGCTGTTGCTTCCTCTCTGTGCAGTGTCCTGTGGTCCAAGTGTGCTGGCGCAGCCAACAGGGGAGCGCTCCAGTCTCACGGCTCCTCCCTGGGTCAAGCCCTCCGGAACACCAAAGCCCCTGAAGACTGACAGCTGTTGGAGCATCCACCTTGGCAGCTGGCTCACACCCTGCTGGTTAGCATGGCTGCTGGGAAGGGTGCTGTGCGGAGCTCTTCAGCTGAAAACAGTTGGCGGCTTAGTGAAGCCGACCATGGCAGGGGTTGCAAGCCAGTGCTGCTGGAGAAAACCAACCACCTGGGCTCTGAGGCTGCCACAGGTGGTGGGGGCCAGCATGAGGCCTGTGCTGAGCTGGTGCTGTCAGCAACCCCAGGCAAACTCAGACTGGGAAAGCCAATGGCCCAGAAGGTGTCCTGGGAACAGGGGCAGAGTGCCTTCACGGAGGTGCCTCAGCTCAAGAAGAGGCTGGAGGGTACACAGGCCAAGGAGAGGGAGCATGGTAACCCCACAGGACAGCCTGTCCCCCAGCAGCTGACACAGGAGATCCCCAGGGATCCAGCTGGCAGCAAGGTCTTCTCTTGGCCCAGCGGAGCCCAAGGGGAACCGAGAAGCGCCTTCAGCAAACCAGCCAGGTGTCCAACAGGGAGACCTGGGCCAACCTCTGTCTTCCAGGCAGAGGGACACGCAGATGCCCTTGGGGAGCTGTTGGGACTCATCAACACGGTAGATGTCCCTTGTTGGGGTCAACTTTCAAATTCTAAGTTTTTGGTGGGTGATTTCTGGAACCTGCAAATGTTGCCACAAAATGTTCCCATCTGTAGTGCTTTCATGGGTGCCCCCACACTGTGGCTAAAGCATGCCACTGGCCAGATACCCACACCCTCATCATCCTCCTCTCCTGCCTCCTGGGCTCTGCTGCGACCCACGTTCACCTCCCTGGGCCTGTCCACCCAGAACTGGTGTGCAAAGTGCAACCTGTCCTTTCGCCTGACCTCCGACCTGGTCTTCCACATGCGGTCCCACCACAAAAAGGAGCATGCAGGGCCTGACCTACATTCTAAGAAGCTGAGGGAAGAGGCCCTCACATGTCCCATTTGCCATGAATACTTCCGGGAGCGCCACCATCTGTCTCGGCACATGACTTCTCACAGTTAGCCGGTGACCGTGGAGCAAACCTGTAGGGGCAGCTTCTAAGATTTGGCAATGAGCCGGAGATGGCTTGCCGGTATTTCCTTTGAAAAAGCTGGTCAGAGTTGTCTGCAGGGCTGTCTGCATTGGAGTTCATACACGAGCACCTTGGTCATCATTTGAAAAAGAGAGCCCTCAGCTGTGATGTGTTTTGATGGAAATAAAGTCATGCAATAAAATGATATGCTTTGTTAACCTAGGGCATTGGGACTATGAAGCATGAAGTGGAGGCCCTGCTCCTGTCACCATTCTGTTTGTTCTTGTGGAGACAAGTTTGGCACACAGCATGAGCTTTGGAGGCAAACAAACCTGGATTCAAATCTTTCACATATTAGCCCTGACCTTGGACACATTGCTTTAATCGTCTGAGCACCAGTGTTCTTATCTGTAAATGGGGAAGGTGACACTTGTGTCTTAGGGATGTTGTCAGGGTTACGTGGGAAGGTGTGTGGAAAATAGCCAGCATAACACTTGGCACAGTGTGATCACTGAGGAAATGATATTATTGTCCAGATCAGTCAGGTGTTGTTAAATAACAAAATCTCAGTGGCAGACAACTCAAAGCATCTATTTCTCACTCGAGGGTCTATGGGTTGGCTGGGTTGAGTTGGTCTTGGCTGGGCTTGGCTCCGATCACAAACTATCTTTAAGTTCATCTTTTACTCTAGGACTGATGGGCTTCCCAGATAATACTTCTCTCATGTTTATGCCAAGAGCCCAAGAAGGAAAATCCAAATACACAAGCAAGCCTCAGGTTTCTGCTTGAGTCACTTTTTCTTTCTTTCTTTCTTTTTTTTTTTTTTGAGAGAGAGAGAGAGTGTGAGAGTGTGGGGGGAGGGGCAGAGAGAAAGAATCTTGAGCAGGTTCCATGCTCGGCGTGGAGCCCGACATGGGGCTTGATCTCAAGATCCTGAGATCATGGCCTGAGCTGATACCAAGAGCCAGATGCTTAACCGAATGAGCCATCCAGGCGTCCCTTGGGTCAATTCTACTAACATCCTCTCAGCCAAAGCAAGTCAATGGCCAAGCCCAAAGTAAATGGGTGATATGTGCATGCTGCCCACAGTGAAGCCATGATGAGGGAGCGAATGTGAAATCCTCCTGCAGGGGCATGAAGAATTGGGACCAATAATTCAACCAACACTTCTTCACATTCTGAATTCATGAAAGGGGGCAAAAGGAACAACACACCCACCCACCCACACACCCCTTAGCTCTCAGGAAGTGATCGTGTACAACGGCTTAGGCTTAAAACACTGTGAGAATTAAGAGAGTTCTGGCTACCAATATCTACTGCATGTTGTGTTTCTCTCAGTAACTGTTCTGTTTATCTGCATTTGTCCTTGCAAACCTCAGGTCATAAACTCTGATATAACTCAGGCCAGTTTGTGTGAAGGCCATCAGCTGGGAGTTCTTTCGAGTCAGTGAGTTCTTTTGACTGGTTTCCACTTCCCTTTCGGGACATGCTCATTTGATCTGCAATTTGGAACCCTCTGGTGGGGCCTCTGGCACAGAGCTCAGGCTGTGGTTGGGAAGGAGCTGGTGGGGGCGTTCAGACAGCGGCCAGTGAGCCATCCAAACAGCCCCCAAACTCGACCTCTTCTCTCCCTCTCCATGTGCCAACCTGGTGCAGGCAGCAGCAGGTCCCACCTGGCCCACCCTACCCCCATCCCCCTGATTCACCCTCCCCTCACCTTCCACCCACACACCCATCCATTCTCCACCCATAGCCAGCCATTTATTCACTCATTTATTAACCTCCCCAGGCACCCTGCTGTGTCAGGCTTGGTGCCAGGCCCTGGGGGGAGGCCCCTGAATTCTGCCCATGGTCCTTGTTCAGGGTACGCAGCCTAGCGTACAGTGTGACAGATGCCAAACAGAGGCCTGTGTGGGGCACCAGGCACATGGGACCAGGCCCACATCAGACCTGTGGGAGGGGAGGACAGTGCTCCCAGAGTCCTCCTGAGGAGTGGGGAGAAGAGCAGATCATCAAAGTCCAGCAGGTGCTGGAGGTTCAGATGGAGGGCGGTGGCTGGGGAGGAGGGGCCCAGAGCTACAGTGCTGTAGGATGCTACAAGGCCTGTGTGAGAACCGAGTGAGATGGTGGCCCTCTGAGATGGAGATGGAGGAAGGCTTCCAAGGACAGGAGTCTGGCCCAGGACACAGGAAGCCTGGGTCTGAGAGGCACTTTGAGGAATCCTCTGGCTGCAGAAGGCAGGGTGGGCTGGAGGAGAGGAGAGGACCCCCTGAAGGAGCCTCTGCATCTGGAAGGAGCCAGCAGTGCTCGCGGCAGGCACCAACAGAGCACCTCCATTCTTGCAGGGAGGTTTGGAAGCCCCCTCCCTGAGAGAGACATGGGACGCTTTGTAGGATGGTCCCTTTCCCCACAGAAGGGGGCTGAAGCTTTGAGGAGCCTCCTTCCCCTGCCATCCCACGTGGGTAAGGAAAGGGTGCTCCCTGGAGTGTGAACCTGAAGCTCCACATGATGCACTGACGTACATCGTTGAATCTGCCTGACGTGCACAGGAGGTAGATTTTTAATTCCCATGTTACTGCAGAAGAAACTAAGCTCCAAGAGGTGAAGCGTCTTTTCTAAGATCATAGGTTTAGGAGAAATGGTGCAAGAATAAGGTCCCAGGACCACCCAACTGTGAGCTCACATCCTTCCCAGCCTGCCATGCATTTGCTCAGCATGTGGTTACATGGCATCATGGATGGTTTAAAAATAGGATCTAGGGTCAGGCACTGACCCCTTCTAAAATTGCGCCTTGCATCCTGCATACACTCCCACATTTCCTATCACCCTTTCCTTGAACATTTTTCTATTATCTTGTATGCTACACCAGTTTACTGATTTGTCTTATTTACTGTGTCTCTCCCATTACTGGAGCATAAGCTCCACGAGGGATTTTTGGTTTTGTCCACTGCTGTATCCCCAGCAGGAAGAACAATGCAGGAATGTAGTAGATGTTAACAGACATTTGTTGAATGAAGGAATGAATGAATGAATGAGATGCCTGGTTCCAGTCTCACCCCTGACAAACCCTGAATCAGCTGCTCATAAGTGTTTTGACATCGATCAGATGGTGTGCACAGCTGTCCTCTTCTGGCTTATTGGATTGGTCCATATTTCTGTGAAATCACTTTGAAAGGCACAAGTGCACTATACTAAGAATTGAAATTTGGGATGGAAGGGGACTCTAGAGTTCTCCTGCATCCTCTCACTTTATAGCGATGAGCACTGAGGTCCACTGGTGATCAGACCTGCAAAGTGATGCAGGGCAAGTGGCAGTGAGGTCAAGGCCAGAACCCCTGAAATGTCAGCCTGGGCATCTTCCCTGACCTGCCCACACGCCTCTAAGACCATTGTCTGTAGCCACACGCAGAATTACTACTAGCAGTGACCCCATCATTTTCAAGCAAGAGAGACATTTTGAGAAATAATAAAGCTAACCAAATAAAAGTTATGAAGAAGTGTAATGGAACGTCTTACCCCAACTTTTTTATTTTAATAAAACTAATGGACATGCAAGTTGCTTGGCAGCCATTGAAATCGACAAACTCCAAGATGACTTATGGAAACGATGACTTACAGTTTATGAACATGGCAGCTCCTATTTGTCACCAGGCTGGGTTCCCAAAGTCCCCTTGGGGGTCAAATCCTGCCCCATCCTTTCTTCTCTCCTGCCCTTCCAGAGTAGTCACTCTGAATCATGACTTTGCCCAATCTCCGTCTGCCACCTTCCATACTAGTTAAGAGTTGGCTGGTGATGTCACCACAAAACATCAATCACATCAGCAGGTGAGAACTTTCCTCTTTAAGTCTGGGGTAAGAATGATCACATTCCTTAAATTCTCTATATCTAATTAAATCTACTCTGCACCCCGATCCTGTGGTTCTGGTAAGATATGCAGTCTGTCATTTTCAAATTCCTCCCCTGTCTTTCAAATTCACAGAAAGTTCCCCCAATGTGCCCTGCCTATGAAGGTGGCCTCCCTGAGAGTCACTTAGTCTCCCCATGGGGCACTGGTGTCTTTGTCTCTGTCCTCCAATGTGTTCAGGCTCCTCCCCTCTTCCAGATCTTGGGCCTTGGTGCTTTGCTGGCCACGTTGTCATTACAGATGTCACACAGAAACCACCGAGTCAATGAACAGAAAGGCTTGGCTAATTTCTTGGACTAGGCGAGGGAAAATCCCTTCTGGTGGCTGGGACAATGGCAATGTCTATCTTAATCTCCCAAGCAGCAGCCATTCAATTAAGATTTATAAGAGTCCCCAAAATGTGCTAATGAGGCTGAAATAAGACATTTTGAATTCAGGTCCATTTAGTTCTCAATTATAACCAAAATCTGCTCCCCCCCTCCCCCGCCACCCACTTTTATCTGGAGAAGTAAAACCCTAACAAGGCCAGGATCCTGGATTTCAGCTTCTGGCCAGTTCCTAAATCTTACACTGTAAAGACAGGGCATCCTACTCAAATGACTCTATAATTAGATTAATGAACGTGAGTGAAGTCCACTGGGCTTAGGGACAGGGAGAAGAGGAGGGAGGGTGGGTCTGACACCTAGAATTCCTGTGTCCTGGGTGAGGGAAGTCTCTTTAGTGCCAGGCTGAATGCAGGCCTCAAGAGAGGCTAGAAATTCTCAATGGGGAAAAGCTGAGAGCTTTTCCCCTAAGGTCAGGAACGCGGCAGGGATGTCCACTATCACCACTGCTATTCAACATAGTATAAAAAAAAAAAAAGAAACTGTAAAAAAGAAAAAGGGGGAGAGAGAGGCTAGAAATCAGTACTGTATGTGAAATTAGTGATTCAGTTGGTTTTTAAAAGCTGATGGCCAGAATAGCATGGACTTAAAGAAGCACATTAGTGGTGATGGTGATGGTGAGGGGGAGGAGCGACCCGCTGGAGACCCCTGAATCTATTATGTATCCAGACTTGGAAGAGGCTGGGTGCTGGGCCCAGCCCT